TTTTATTATTGTCTATATGGTCTAGTTTTGCCGTGTGATCTAGTCTGAGATAGAAATGAGAATCTAATTAACAACATTCTAATTTTCATTCGCTCTAATCTGATATTTTTAAGTCTCACATGATTTGTTTAGTTTGATATGAAATGATCTAAATCCAACTAAAAAATATGCTTACTTAACTTAGGGTATGGATAATTGCCCGACTATGTATGAGGGAGGGATCTTGTAATTTATAAATAATTGTTAAATACTGCATTAGGACATGAGTGGGTGACACGATTATTAAAAATATGAGTTTATGGGACTAATATGAGATTGGTAAAGTTAAAATAATTTATAACCACACAAACCTAACCAAATTTGGTATGGAACAATCTTAGTAGAATTTCTCAAAAAAGAAATACGGGACAATCTTAGCAGGACGAAGAGGGTAGAAGTTAGAAAATCAAGTTTGATGAAAGTGAAAGTTAATAACATCTCTAATATAATGCTACAATATGTATGGTGCATAAGTAATATCACATAGATAAACACAAAAGAATGAATTCAATATATTCTTCTTTTCCCCTTTCCATGGTATTATGTCTTTTTGATAAGTTTTTCTCAACAATGTCAATCAAAATATCTACATTCAGATACTCCCTCCGTCCCGTTGGAATATTCCCGGTTTGACCTACACACATATTAAGGAAATAAACTTACCAGGGGGTAAATTTTACTGTTTGGACACTGTTTGGACACTGTTTTGCACTGTTTGTCACTGTTTTGCACTGTTTGTCACTGTTTTGATGTGTGATAACTTTCCATTTAGGGAAATGAGAACTTTCCATTGGGACATCCAAAAAAGGAAAGTGGGAACATTCCAACGGGACGGAGGTAGTATTATATTTGACATTGTACAGAAGAACTTACCAAAAGCGTATAAGACTGTTCAAATAGGGAGATGGATATTCTACTTAATAATTTCTATGTATCTCTCTGGTGCCACATAAATAAACATGACTAACACGTTTTCTATTTTGTTAACATCATTAATTTTTTTAAGATATTTGAACTTTGAATACTTTCAATCAATATAATTTTTTGTGTAGAAAGTTTCAAATTCGGGAAGTTATATTGCCCTAATTTTTAAAGGAACGAATACATATGACAAAGAGTCTATTTGGTAACATTGAAATTGGTTGAATCAGATGGTTAGCTGATTTCGCTCAATTACGAAAAAATATTGTTCTAAAAATCGCTCTAGGCGTTAGACAGTGGCAGACAGGCGCCACAATGGTAGTTCAGACGCCCGACTAATTGGTTTGTCACCTAAGTGAATTAGTCAGCTCAGCTGCCTGACTAGGGTGCTTAGTTGTCCAACCAAAGCTCTTAATTGGCCACCTATGGCGTTTAGATTCTCTAAACATTTTTTTTTCTTTTTTTCTTTTAATTTTCTTAGAGATATACGTATATTTAACTTTAACAAATGATATTAAGAAAGCTATTAGTTGTAGATTAAGCTATTAGTTTGTATATAATTTTACTTGTTATTATTATTTAACATTAAAAAAATACAACATTCATGACTAATCATAGTTAAGTGTGTATGACATATTATTAAATGTGATAACATTATCATTCATGCATGTTAATGTGATAACGAAGTATGTATGACATATTATTAAATGTGATAACATTATCATTCATGCATGTTAATGTGTATATCTATTTTCTACACACACAAATACAACATTCATGACTAATCATAGTTAAGTAAAAACATTCATGAAACTATAATAATTTCTATGTATCGCACTAATTTCTATGTGTATTTAAGATCCGTGAAAACATCACTTTTAACTCAATGCAAAACACTACTCCGTATAATTTTTGTATTTTACACTTTTTCAAAACACGACATAACCAAATAAATGGTGTGGCATTTTTCTATATATTTCGTCAACAAGAAAAATGTAAGGTACAAGCGTTACAGACTTACAGTGTATCACATTAAGTTAAAAGTAATGTTCTCACAGCGCTCACATTAAGCATGATTCACATTTGATTATAAATCGAAATAGTAATATGTATTATTTGCCATCCCACATTTAAATTCACATTCTGAGTTGTTGAGTCAACTTTATTTAACTATGACAGTTAATTATTCAGAAATTATATTGCTTTATAAAATTAAAATATACTAGTACATAATTGTAAGAGTTTTTTTAATAATTAGTGAGATAAAATTTACTTACAATGAAATATGACTAATAGCTAGTACTACGTATGTTATGGTGTAATGGTCACTTAACTTCGTGTAAAAGATTTAAATTACTATGACCGAGTAACTAATATAGTCATTAATAAGATGTCACACTTTTGTAAGTAATTTTATTTTAATCATAAACATTACGTAGTATTTAGTTATTTAATGAAAATCTTGGAAGTATTGCAAACTAAATGATGAATTTTACAATAATCTTTGGGTGTAAACTTTACAATGATCTTTTATTGACCATTTTCTGGCCTGCGCATATTATTACCCAAAAATTATGTTTATGTACAAATCTTTGACTCACAGAGTTAATGTGTTTGACCCCAGCCCAGCCCATGCATGAAAAGAGTCTGGTTGATTAGCTGTTTGATTTGGCAGTCAAGTTTAAAGAAAGCAGTGCAAGTTAAGTAAAGTGGTGAATTAAAGTTTGCATGGGATATGATTTTTGGTCAGATCAGATCCGATCACAAGTGGAGTGGAGTTGATGTTTTCTCCAGTTGGGAATTGGGTTTTTCCTTCGCTGGTGATTTTATTAATTACCTTGACCTGTTGTGATTTGATCTACTCTTTTTTTGGCTTTGGCATACTTCGAATGAAGTGAAAGTAAAAAAAGGAAAACTTTGGTAAAGAAATATTACCTTGTTGGAATATTTTATTTCAATAATTAATATGGGCTAATATTATAATTATTGTATTAGCTATTTATCAATTGGGTTTTATTTATGTGGTCAATATTATCTAATTAAGCCCAATAGACTATTAAGATAAATTGTATGGGCCAAATAAATGGGCAGAGGCCCGTGTTGCTTGTTAGGGTTTAATGGGAGCCCTAGCTAGACCAACACACTCTATAAATAGGCTATGGTCCCCAATACATTGAACACCACCAATTCACTTCTCTTCTCCCCATCGGAAGAGAGACTAAGGTCTCGGGTTCAATTGAGGAAGATCCAGACGCCATCTACCTCGTTCCATTCCTCCTGCGGCTTCGCTATGGATCCAGGTAGTAATCTTATTATACTCTATTATTCAACATGATGAAGGTCCTGAAAATATTAGAACAATTCATTCTATTTGTTCTTGTATTGCTTCCGCTTTATGTATATGTATTTCCAACAATTGGTATCAGAGCCTCCTTCATGTTGAATTATTTGGAGTTTTTCATATTTCTTGTTTCAATCTTAAACGATTGAATTTCTGGATTTTTTTTTGTCATATGATCTGTCGATTTGAATGAAAGTAGGGTAATGCGAAATTACTTTTACGTAATTCGTTCCTATGCATTCATAAGTTTGGCGGTTGATGACTTGAAAATTTTAATCTGCCATATTAGTTTCATCTTTGAATGTGGCAGATTGGCCCAGATTTTATTTGTTGTTTGTTTGGGCACTTCAATTCAATCCCATATACGATTAGCCGATTTCAAATTTACAATGGAATCAGGATTCATATGAATCTGTATTTTGATAATCATATCGGCCATGATATGCAATATGTGATGGAATTAATTGAATATTCTTGATTGAATTTTCTTTTGAGATTTATTCGGCACTCAGTAGAAAATTATTGTAGTATTTTCAATTTTTTGTCATGTCAATCTTACGATTGATGTTTTTTTTTTCGGAAAAGGTGATTTGAATACTCCGTATTAATATTGTGATCGTTAAGTCACTTATGGAGCATATTAATGCATACATTTATTAGTTACTCCGTATCACATTTGGTTTGATTCACTTTCCAAAATTGGCTATTTTTATATTGTTTATACAGAGTATTATAGAGTATGGGCAATTGGTGCCTTTGGAATTAAAGATTCCTTTTATAATTGTGATTAATCATTGGCGTATTAAGTTCAAATTTTTATTTATAGTCAAATATCTTGATTAATTTTGGTCGTGATTTGCAGCTTAAAAAAAATCTGTATTGTGTGTTATGGGATGTATAAATCTTATTTTGCGATCGCACAGTGTACGGATTTTACACATCGTTTTACATAACACATTTACATTCGCCCAATTTTATTTTTCAGTTTTGAATTTAATATTAGCATGTCTAATATTTGGTTTAGTTAATTGACACAAGATGTTGCCAAAGTAGTCTCTCTTGTTGAAATTAATTAACTCATATATTAAGATGATTATGTACTCTCTTATTTCATGCGGATAATAATCGGCCCAAAGGAAGGTTATTATTTGGCCGAAATTTGAGTACATTTGTGATACTAAAATTTGTGATAATTATGAGGTTTTCATGTGAATATTAAGTCGGTCCAAAGAAAGACTTAATATTTGACATGATTTTATTATCAAAATTTTATTATTACACAAAGAGTACCACTTGCAAGTCTAATTTATGTCCAAAGACAAGATTAGATGTTGTGCTAGGTATCTTGTGATGGAATTGCTAATATTTAAACTAATTATCAAGTTAATTTCAATTTTAGTTTTTTTTCGTGTATATGACTACATGTTAAAATTATATACTTTAAATTTTAAAGCATTACATACGTATGCAGATATATGTGGAGTTTTAATTTACACATTTGTATGCATATATTTATGTTAAGTGTGAAACAGTATGGTATACGAAGTATATGCTAAGTATATAGGAGTATATTTTCTTTTGAATTATCAAATACGTGTGTATGTGTGATGCGTATTTATTACATACACGTGTAGTATGATAAGTATATATGGGATAATATGGGATGTATTTTGACTTTTTAAAGTAGCTACCAAGTATACGGATGTACATACAGTAAGCATATACGGATAGTATGTGTGTTTTCAGTTTTGCACAAGCTAAGTATGTATGTGTTGTAACGCCCCTCTCAGGGTAAAAGGAATCGTTACACTAGCATACTACTTTAAAAAAATAAACTGTAATATAACGGCCGTTTGTTTAAGAAATAACCCTGATAAAATCTCAAATATACCTAAGATGTAACTCCAAATAAAACTCATTAAAATTCTAGTTATCACTAGCAAATGTGACAACCACCTGGATCCAGGAATTTATTCAAACTTCAAACCATAAATAAAAAAAGTAATAATAATAATAAACTCCTTAGAACAATATCTAAAATAATGAGACATAATAATAGCTAGTTGGAAGCCGCCAAGGTCGTCCCCGTCAACTCATCTTGGCACGCGTTCCACTCTCTCATCACCTTCCTAGGCCTTGGCCTTACCTTTAGTATCTGTACATGCGAAGAAAGAAACTGATAAGCTTTACGCTTAGTAAGTCACTATGGATCCACAAAAATATCTAGAAGTCTATGCCAATTTATCAATAGATAAAATTTAGGCTATAAGCATGCACTGAACAAACAACTAACACATAACTTCTCAATTACATTCTGAGAGAGATCTCAAAGGAAAAATATTTCCTAAAATATTTTTTCTCAAAACTGTTAGGGATCTCAAATTTTTTTTTTTTTTCTGAAAACATCTCTGTAAAACTCTCTGAAAGAGATCTCAAAAACTTTCTGTAAATCTTTCTGGAAGAGATCTCATAAACTTTCTATAAACTCTTTGTGGCTAATTTTAACTGTGGGCCCGTGATATGTACTCAATGGCGCCAATCCGACAGCTCAGGGGAGCGACCCACTAAACATATCGGACTATCTAAAACTAAAACTGCTAATCTGAGGGATCTAGTTCCCGAGTACATATCACTTAATCTTTCACTTTAAGTATTAGTTCTTTTTATGGTGACGTTTGATTAAACATCATTAAATCTGGAAACGAAAGTACTAACAAATCTTGACTATGCCAGATAATAAGCATAACTTAATTTAGCAATAAAATAACTCATCACATAATTCACATAGTTCACATAATAGCAAATAGTCTAAAATTATCTATTAAAAATCAACCAGACTTCTTGCATTTGGTTGAACAAACATGTACAGGTGGTAGTGAACTTACCTGTAGAAGCTGAACTCAAATTTCTCAAATAAGTGTGGCAACTTGATAACGTCTTCTGGTAAGCTCTTCTCTTAAATCTTTAATTAAATGTAATAATCCAATAAGAATATTACTTCCCAAATAAAGCATCTCTCTTGATAAAAAAAAAATGCTACGGCTCATTCTAGCTAAAACAAAAATGAGGATGACTATGCTATAACAATCATGTACACAGTAGTGTACATGAGTTCCAGATCTGATATAAAAATGATGTTTTATAGTTTAAGGATCTGTAAGCACATTTAACCCAATTTAGGCATTAATTTCGTAAATGAAAGAACAAAATTGAACTTGGCAGAACCCCTAAATCTGCAAAATCTAGCTATGAGTTTATTCTACTACAAAATTTAACTTGACTTTATGAAAAATTCCCCCCCTGATGCTATATACACAGTAACCCAGTGGACATTCCAAGATCAGCATTAAAGCTATGTTTTTCCAAAACATATCTGTTTTCAAAACTGTAAATAAATTCATTTTTAAACTGCAGAGAGCTGCAACAGCCAAATTGACCTACGATTAAGTAAAACAAAACCAATGGAGGAACTTAAAATATTCCTTATACTCATAAACTTATACGAACTGGTATAGCAACACAACTCACCCAACTGAAAAGAATTAAAATTGAACTAGCAGCCAAACTGGTCCACGATTAGATTGAAATAAATCTAAGGTTAACATAAAATTTGAACTACGAAGTAAAACATTCTCAAAGGACCTGATTTTGTGATAGTTTCAACATCAGAGAATTTAAGCAAAATCCAACAAAATTAACTACTCGAGTAAGAATTATAATTTGATGTAAGGAACTCAAGCTTACCAGACAAGAGATGCAAGGGCAAATCTGATAGTAATCTGGTTGAGTAATGAAGAGTTGGAAAGAGGCTTTCCGTGTTCAGATGAAAGGAACAGCAGGTAGCAAGTAAAGAAGAGAGCCGATCCTCAAAGGTTTACGGAGAATAAAATACTTAGGGTTATGCCTTTTTAGGGATTTCAGTCTTATAATATTTATCTGGGCTTAGTTAACTGAATTGGGCTTCTAATCCTCTCTTAATAAAAGTTTCTAACACATAAAAGTATTTATTATTATTAATATTTTTTTTTTAAATAAACTGAGCAAGCCTTATAACATTACTTATTTCTTCACTTAATATCATTAGAGCTTACCGGTCAACGTTACCTGCCAAAACAACACATGATCAAACAATAAATCACATTATTCATACAATAAACTTATTTAACTGACTACATAAAATAAAAGATTAAAGTAACTAGATCGCTAAAATCGGGGTGTTACAACCCCTCCCACCTTATAAAAGTTTCGTCCTCGAAACTTAGAACAACTCAGGATAACGCCGCCTCATGTCATCCTCAACCTCCCAAGTAGCTTCTTCAACTTTGTCATTTCGCCACAACACTTTTACTAGAGCTATCTCTTTATTCCGGAGACGTCTAACCTTTCGGTCAAGAATTTGTACTGGCTTCTCCTCGTAAGACATATCATTTTGCACTTCTATTGTTGGGGGTATCAAAACATGCTCCGGATCAGCAAAGTATTTCCTCAACATCGAAACATGGAAGACATTATGAATGCCAGAAAACTCTTCAGGTAGCGCGAGCTCATAAGCTACCTTCCCCACTCGTCGAGTGATCTCATATGGTCCGGTGAATCTTGGGCTAAGCTTTCCTTTCTTTCCAAACCGCATCACACCCTTCATCGGGGTTATCTTAACGAAAACAAAATCCCCCACTTCGAACTCTAGAGGCCTTCTCCGAACATCGGCATAACTTTTCTGTCTGCACTGGGCGGATTCTATCCTTTGCCGGATAGTTTTAATAGCTTCTAAGGTCTCATCTATCAACTCAGTCCTCCCTTTCAGTTCCTCTTCTAGGATCTTCTTCTCTCCTGTTTCACACCATGATATGGGAGATCTACACCTTCTCCCATACAACGCCTCATATGGAGCCATGCCGATAGTTGCTTGATAACTATTATTATAAGCAAACTCTGCCAGACTAAGGTGTTTTGCCCATCCTCCTTGAAAATCTAGCGCGCATGCCCGCAACATATCCTCCAAGATCTGATTTGTTCTCTCTGTCTGGCCATCGGTCTGAGGATGAAAAGCGGTACTAAACTTCAACTTCGTGCCCAAAGATTGTTGTACACACTTCCAGAAGTGAGACGTAAATCTGGAATCTCTGTCAGAAATAATACTCTTTGGAACACCATGCAACCTAACAATCTCCTGTATATACAATTTTGCCAACTTCTCCAAAGAAATACTTGCTGAAATTGGGATAAAATGAGCAGATTTGGTCAACCTGTCCACTATAACCCATATAGCATCATAACCTCCAGTTGTCTTCGGCAATCCCATAATAAAGTCCATGGATATCTCATCCCATTTCCACTCTGGAATCTGGATAGGCTGAAGCTCCCCACCTGGTCTTTGATGTTCAGCTTTTACTTGTTGACATGTCAGACATGATTGGACGAACTTCGCGACATCTTTCTTCATCCCTGACCACCAAAAGTTTTTCTTCAAGTCGCGGTACATCTTGGTCGCACCAGGATGCATAGTGAATGGTGTGTCATGAGCCTCCTTCATAATCTGCTTCCTCAACCCCTCGACATCAGGAATGCACAACCCGTTTCGAAGTAATAATCTCCCACTCTCATCCAAACGGAATTCGGGACATTGTCCCTCCTTGACGCACTCCTTCAACTTAACCAACTCGGGATCAAGTTCTTGCTTCATAGCTATGTCCTCAAATATTGCTGGAGTCACTGTCATAGCCGCTAGTCGCCCACTTACAACCTCTAATTCAAAATCTTCAATTTCCTTCTTCAACTTTGGATCTATTACCATCATAGCCATTAGTGTTGCAGAAGACTTCCTACTAAGTGCATCTGCTACCTTGTTGGCCTTCCCTGGATGATAAAGGATCTCACAATCGTAGTCTTTGATTAATTCAAGCCACCTTCTTTGCCTCATGTTGAGGTCCTTCTGCGTGAATATATATTTCAAACTTTTATGATCGGTGAAGATCTTGCACTGGACCCCATACAAGTAATGTCTCCAAATCTTCAAGGCATGAATCACTGCTGCTAACTCCAAGTCATGGATGGGATAATTCGTCTCATACTCCTTGAGTTGCCGAGATGCGTACGCAATGACTCGTTCATTCTGCATAAGAACTGCTCCAAGTCCCATCTTCGATGCGTCTGTGTAGATAACAAACCCTTCCTTGCCTTCTGGGAGTGTTAAAACAGGTGCAGAGGTCAACCTATTTTTCAGCTCTTGGAAACTCTTCTCACAACGATCAGTCCACTCAAATTTTTTACCCTTACGAGTCAAGGTAGTCAATGGAAGAGCTATAGCAGAGAAGCCTTCCACAAACTTCCTATAATACCCTGCAAGGCCTAAGAAACTTCGAACTTCTTTCGCATTCTTTGGCCTGCTCCAATCTCGAACAGCCGCTACCTTTGAGGGATCCACCGAAATTCCCTGCTTTGAAACTACGTGGCCAAGGAATGCTACTTGGTCAAGCCAGAACTCACACTTTGAAAACTTAGCATATAGCTTATGTTTTCTCAGTGTCTCCAGTACCTCTCTCAAGTGTTCTTCATGCTCCTCCTTAGACTTTGAGTAGATCAAAATATCATCAATGAAAACAATGACAAACTTGTCAAGAAACTCCCTGAACACTCTATTCATCAGATCCATAAACGCCGCTGGAGCATTAGTTAGGCCGAAAGGCATAACCACAAATTCATAGTGTCCATACCGCGACCTAAAAGCTGTTTTTGGGGTGTCTCCTTCTTTGATTCTTAGCTGATGATACCCTGAACGAAGGTCAATCTTGGAGAAAATCACCGCTCCCTTCAACTGGTCAAACAGGTCATCAATTCTAGGCAGAGGATACCTATTCTTGATAGTCACTTTATTGAGTTCTCTGTAATCTATGCACAATCTCATTGTGCCATCCTTCTTCTTCACGAATAATACCGGAGCTCCCCACGGCGAGTAACTGGGCCGAATGAAACCTTTCTCTAGCAACTCCTGCAACTACTTATGGAGTTCTTGTAACTCTGCTGGGGCCATTCGATACGGTGCTCTGGAAATCGGTGCGGTACCGGGCAACAACTCAATCTCTCTACTGGGTAGTAATCCTGAAAGATCTTCGGGGAATACATCACTGTAACCTTCCACAACGGGAACTTCAGAAAGCTGCATAGGTTCCCCTGAGTTTTTGTCTACTACGTGAGCTAAGAAAGCTTCACATCCACCTCGAATCAGTCTCCTTGCTTGCAATGCTGAAATCATCACCTTCCCTGATCTTTTTGGTTCCCCAAGAAATAAGAAAGGATCAGACCCTGCAGGCACAAAACTAACAATTCTCTTTCGGCATATAATTGAAGCGTTATACTTCTGCAGAAAATCCATGCCGAGAATCACATCATAATCCTTCATGTTGAGCACAATCAGATCTACAAATAACTCTCTTTCCGCAATACTCATTGCCACTGCTCGTAGCCAATGAGTTGACAACATGATCTCTCCCGACGGAAGTGCTGTGGTGAACTTATAATCTAACTTATCTTGACGTGTTGCTAAGGGTCTAGCAAACTCAAGAGATACAAAGGAATGTGTGGCTCCTGTGTCAAATAACACATTAGCATATCTGTTTAGAACAAGTATCTGACGTGTGACAACTCCGGGATTTATAGATGCCTCTTCCTTGGAGATGGTGAACACCCTAGCAACCGGGGCCTCTGGTGGTGCCTCAAGGCGTCCCTGCTGGATGGATGGTCCTTCTAGATAAGCCTGCATATTATGGACGACCGCTGGAGGTGCTGGATTCCTCGGTATCTGAGTGATCTGGTAGCTTTGCTGATTCTTTCTTGGACAATCTCTAGACATATGGCCCTCAAGACCGCAAGTGTAACAAGCGCTGGAACCCAATCTGCACTGGCCTAGATGATTACGACCACAATTAGCACACTGTGGAAACATAATCTTTTTATTTTGTTGCCCCTGATGATGTCCAGCTCTCTTGCCATTACTATTACTGCTCTTAAAGCTCCTCTTCTTGTGATTCTTCGAGCTACTCGTGTATCCCGGTGGCTGATTCTGTGACTGCAGTGGCACAGATTGCGGCTGAGCGGGCACTGGATCGCTAGGAAGGTAGTACTCCTTTTGACTTGCTCTAAGGACACAGTCGACTAATGTAACTGGGGTATGGTTACCGTCCTCCAAGTGAACCGCTATATCCTTCCTAAGTGCTTTCAGGAACAACTTCACCTTATCTCTCTCTGTCGGAGCAGCTGTAGGGCAAATACGTAGTAGTCTCTGAAATTGTGCTGCCAAGGTTGCTACATCCATGGTTCCCTGACGTAGATTCTCAAGCTCATCCTGGTACTTACGTGTGACACTAGCGTTGAAATATTGGTTGGTGAACTCCTCTTTGAACTGCTCCCATGTCATCTGCGCAATATCATACCTTGTTTCAACAGTCTCCCACCATATCCGAGCATCCATGGTGAGGCTATATGATGCGCATCGAACCTTGTCATTATCTGCCAGTTCTAAACCATTAACAATGCCTTCAATGGTCTTCAACCATCCTTGAGCAGCTAGAGGGTCAGGACCCCCCTCAAAATCTGCGGGCTTGATCTTCCTCCAAGTGATCATTAGGGGTTCTCGCCTCGGTGCTCCGTTTCCCACGCCTTGATTATTACCAGCATTTCCTCCTTGAGCTCCGCCCCTTTGATTGTTCGCGGTCAAACGGTCGATGATCTGTTGCTGCTCCTGCAACTGCCTCTGAAGTTGCGCTACAATACCTACCAAATCTTGCTCGTGATTGTTTCCTTGCTCATTACTGTTCCCTTGTGCATTGCTACCACGGGTTCTCCTCATTTTCTTAAGGCACCTAAATATAAACTTTTTATTTATATGCCATACACATTACTAAAAGGAAAGACATTCATATCTTTGTTCTCTATCTAATAAACTCCTCTTGCTCATGTACAGAAATATAAAAACTAACTTTAAATACTTACTTGGAAGATGATGAGCACGTGTACGGTGACAAGTGAAGTTACGGGACAACCTGGGCTCTGATACCAAATTTGTAACGCCCCTCTCAGGGTAAAAGGAATCGTTACACTAGCATACTACTTTAAAAAAATAAACTGTAATATAACGGCCGTTTGTTTAAGAAATAACCCTGATAAAATCTCAAATATACCTAAGATGTAACTCCAAATAAAACTCATTAAAATTCTAGTTATCACTAGCAAATGTGACAACCACCTGGATCCAGGAATTTATTCAAACTTCAAACCATAAATAAAAAAAGTAATAATAATAATAAACTCCTTAGAACAATATCTAAAATAATGAGACATAATAATAGCTAGTTGGAAGCCGCCAAGGTCGTCCCCGTCAACTCATCTTGGCACGCGTTCCACTCTCTCATCACCTTCCTAGGCCTTGGCCTTACCTTTAGTATCTGTACATGCGAAGAAAGAAACTGATAAGCTTTACGCTTAGTAAGTCACTATGGATCCACAAAAATATCTAGAAGTCTATGCCAATTTATCAATAGATAAAATTTAGGCTATAAGCATGCACTGAACAAACAACTAACACATAACTTCTCAATTACATTCTGAGAGAGATCTCAAAGGAAAAATATTTCCTAAAATATTTTTTCTCAAAACTGTTAGGGATCTCAAATTTTTTTTTTTTTTTTCTGAAAACATCTCTGTAAAACTCTCTGAAAGAGATCTCAAAAACTTTCTGTAAATCTTTCTGGAAGAGATCTCATAAACTTTCTATAAACTCTTTGTGGCTAATTTTAACTGTGGGCCCGTGATATGTACTCAATGGCGCCAATCCGACAGCTCAGGGGAGCGACCCACTAAACATATCGGACTATCTAAAACTAAAACTGCTAATCTGAGGGATCTAGTTCCCGAGTACATATCACTTAATCTTTCACTTTAAGTATTAGTTCTTTTTATGGTGACGTTTGATTAAACATCATTAAATCTGGAAACGAAAGTACTAACAAATCTTGACTATGCCAGATAATAAGCATAACTTAATTTAGCAATAAAATAACTCATCACATAATTCACATAGTTCACATAATAGCAAATAGTCTAAAATTATCTATTAAAAATCAACCAGACTTCTTGCATTTGGTTGAACAAACATGTACAGGTGGTAGTGAACTTACCTGTAGAAGCTGAACTCAAATTTCTCAAATAAGTGTGGCAACTTGATAACGTCTTCTGGTAAGCTCTTCTCTTAAATCTTTAATTAAATGTAATAATCCAATAAGAATATTACTTCCCAAATAAAGCATCTCTCTTGATAAAAAAAAAATGCTACGGCTCATTCTAGCTAAAACAAAAATGAGGATGACTATGCTATAACAATCATGTACACAGTAGTGTACATGAGTTCCAGATCTGATATAAAAATGATGTTTTATAGTTTAAGGATCTGTAAGCACATTTAACCCAATTTAGGCATTAATTTCGTAAATGAAAGAACAAAATTGAACTTGGCAGAACCCCTAAATCTGCAAAATCTAGCTATGAGTTTATTCTACTACAAAATTTAACTTGACTTTATGAAAAATTCCCCCCCTGATGCTATATACACAGTAACCCAGTGGACATTCCAAGATCAGCATTAAAGCTATGTTTTTCCAAAACATATCTGTTTTCAAAACTGTAAATAAATTCATTTTTAAACTGCAGAGAGCTGCAACAGCCAAATTGACCTACGATTAAGTAAAACAAAACCAATGGAGGAACTTAAAATATTCCTTATACTCATAAACTTATACGAACTGGTATAGCAACACAACTCACCCAACTGAAAAGAATTAAAATTGAACTAGCAGCCAAACTGGTCCACGATTAGATTGAAATAAATCTAAGGTTAACATAAAATTTGAACTACGAAGTAAAACATTCTCAAAGGACCTGATTTTGTGATAGTTTCAACATCAGAGAATTTAAGCAAAATCCAACAAAATTAACTACTCGAGTAAGAATTATAATTTGATGTAAGGAACTCAAGCTTACCAGACAAGAGATGCAAGGGCAAATCTGATAGTAATCTGGTTGAGTAATGAAGAGTTGGAAAGAGGCTTTCCGTGTTCAGATGAAAGGAACAGCAGGTAGCAAGTAAAGAAGAGAGCCGATCCTCAAAGGTTTACGGAGAATAAAATACTTAGGGTTATGCCTTTTTAGGGATTTCAGTCTTATAATATTTATCTGGGCTTAGTTAACTGAATTGGGCTTCTAATCCTCTCTTAATAAAAGTTTCTAACACATAAAAGTATTTATTATTATTAATATTTTTTTTTTAAATAAACTGAGCAAGCCTTATAACATTACTTATTTCTTCACTTAATATCATTAGAGCTTACCGGTCAACGTTACCTGCCAAAACAACACATGATCAAACAATAAATCACATTATTCATACAATAAACTTATTTAACTGACTACATAAAATAAAAGATTAAAGTAACTAGATCGCTAAAATCGGGGTGTTACATGTGTATATTTGAGCATAATATTCTTGTTCATATTAGTCACGTCATATATGTGTGCATATAAGCATATTGAATACATTTATGTATGGGTGATGTTAAATATGTTAAGATATTAATACATATCTGTATGCATGGTAATTCTGTAATTATGTACACACGTTAAATATTGCATATATACATGCATATGTGAGTATACATGTTGTAATTATGGTATGTGTATAGTACACATGTTAACGTATATGGTATTTTTTTTATGCATAGAATACCTTAAGGGATGGACTTAGACATATACGTTACAATATTTGATATGCTTTTATGTTTTAAAATGGGTATGAAATAAATGCATGCAATCATATCCAATTTAAAAATATACCCGTTTCTTTTGGGGAAGGAGTATTTGCACTTTGGGTCTTCCGATTCTTCATTATACATATTATAACGTTAAGGAAGTTCTTTTGGATCGGGACAAAATATTTGAAATTTTAAGACCTCCCATTTAATAAAATTGTCTGATAATTTTTTGTTGGATGAACTCAAACCACATGTTGTCAAAGTAACCTCTGTTGGATTGAATAATTCAATTAAATTATTATCATAGATGTTTGTATGTGATGATTCATGTGAATTATGATCGGCCCAAAGGAAGACATAATTTGACCAGATTATTTACATACCTGCAATAATAAATATGTGGTGATTATAAGGGAGAATTTAATTTTAATTTTCATTCCATGTGAATAGTGGAATGCCCAAAGGCAACCATTATTTGACAGGATTTATCACCAATATTTGATTAATGCATTGAGAGTACCAATTGCAGTTATCCTACCAATCCAAAGATTGGGGTTTAATGTTGTGCTAGGTATCTTGTTTGAGTCTTATAATTTCACAAAATTTGATGTGCGTAATAATATGGTACTTGATGCACATGTACACATGCATGAAATTAATTTAGTTTTGTACCTAAAGACACATGGTGGGTAGATTCTGGTGCTACTACCCACATAATTATGTCTATGCGGGGTTGCATATGGAGCCGTCCACCAAATGATGCTGGAAAAGTATATTTATGTTGGTGATGACAATAAAGTTTAAGTTCAAGCAATAAGAACTTTTAGACTACTTTTAAAGACTTGTTTTTTATTTGAATTTAATTGAGACTTTTGTTACACTGTCTATTAGACGGTATTTAATTTCCAATTTATGTTTTGGACAAATATAGTTACTCTTGTTCATTTGGAAATTATAAAGTTAGTCTCTCTTATAATTCAAATATTTTAGGTTATGAGTCTTTACTCAATAATCCTTATATGCTTGAGAATTCGGTCATTTTATGGCATAAGCAAAAGAAAGAGTTTCAGAACCACTAAGGGATAACCACCTAAAGTCTTTCGTGAGTGTGGTTGCCAAAGTTGTTTAGTTGAGTGGGAGTTAATCTCTTATGATTTACTTTAGTGATACAAAACTCAAGGTTTCTGCAGAAATAAAGTTTATTAGCTTTACAGCTAAATTTTTGTATCAAGCTATGTGTAATTTTTAATTTACACTTACGAGACTTAAGATTGGTCTCAATAAAGATTAAAGTTGGACCAGTTGAAAATAGGAATGATGGAGACCACTTCACATGTAATTTTCATGCTGCTCACCCATACAGATCTATGTCATCAATTGTATTTTTATGGTGGTTGTTGTGGTTTAGTCATGAATTAACAATATGACAAAAGCCGCAGTAATTCCATTATTAATACATGAGGTGGACCAGATTGACTAAGTTCAAGTCTAAAGATAAATAGCATACTAAGGCGCGCCTAAAGAAATATAATTACAATATGTAGCCCAAGTGGGAGATTGTTGGAATATTTTATTTCAATAATTAATATGGGCTAATATTTTAATTATTGTATTAGCTATTTATCAATTGGGTTTTATTTATGTGGTCAATATTATCTAATTAAGCCCAATAGACTATTAAGATAAATTGTATGGGCCAAATAAATGGGCAGAGGCCCGTGTTGCTTGTTAGGGTTTAATGGGAGCCCTAGCTAGACCAACACACTCTATAAATAGGCTATGGTCCCCAATACATTGAACACCACCAATTCACTTCTCTTCTCCCCATCGGAAGAGAGACTAAGGTCTCGGGTTCAATTGAGGAAGATCCAGACGCCATCTACCTCGTTCCATTCCTCCTGCGGCTTCGCTATGGATCCAGGTAGTAATCTTATTATACTCTATTATTCAACATGATGAAGGTCCTGAAAATATTAGAACAATTCATTCTATTTGTTCTTGTATTGCTTCCGCTTTATGTATATGTATTTCCAACATACCTCCCTTCCACTAACAATGAAACGTGATAGATGATACAATTAGTAAGAAAAATTAGTTTATGTAGTTTGAATTAAATTGATAAAATTAGAATACCGAATGATACTATGATTGATTTAGAAACACAAAGGTTTTATCACATTTGGTATGAGATAGTCATAATGGAATTAGGCTTTGTTTGCCTTATATATAAATAGAGTTTGCAAACAGAGCCTTAAGGGGCTACTATTACTCGTATTATTTTTTTGTAGAAAGAAGGCTCAATTAAAATTAAACAAATACACAGGTAGAAGCCAAATAATGATACCATTAGACTACGGAATCCCAAACCACGGTTGGAACTTGGAAGATGTAGTGACCTACATGGATCAACATTAGGTAGCCTTATAGCACTAATGTATGTTTGGATTAAGGTATATGATTTTGGATCATTTCTCCCATTTGGATACTTTGTAGTTTGATGGTTTGTTAGACACTAATAATTTATGTTAGTAATTTGACCTCGACCACAAGCCTCTACGGCTCACCTTGTCCTCACTCGTGCATGTTTTGAGAAACTTCTTAGGAGATCACTCACCTTGGAGTTCTTAAAATATGAGCCCTTTAAAAGGAGGTGCCCATCAAGCACTCTTATTTCCCTCTTGAGAATAACTGTGCAGTTAAAAGCGTTGTTATCTTCAGGAACTCATTTGAATGCCTTCCCGATTGAATTTTTAGCTTAAAATTGGTATGCGCAAACTAGACTTAATGAATAAGATGCTCAAAAAAAATTATCAAAAAAATCCACCGGGAACCGCCTCAAATGGCACGTCCGGACAGAATCTTCTATGTAAGGACTTATTTGACCACTTTAATGCAACTTCGAAGATCAAACTAACCCTTTACTCGTATAAATATTTATAAGCAGTAAAAAATATTCTAAAATGTTAAGATTGGATCCCCACTATAAATTATTCAAGCCCGACCCCTAATATGCTAACTAATTCTGCATGCATGCTATAAATACAATAATACATGTCCTCATTTCATCTCTGTTCTCTATATAGACATATAAGGATGTTTTTACTTGGACTGCAATTTGCTGGTCTGGTCTGGTAATGTCTGGTCTCTTTGTACTCCGTATTTTTATAATTATCCAAGTCTAATCTGGTATGATCTGAACTGATCTGATCTGATCTGGGACGAATTACAAACCAAGTAAAAACATCCTAACAACACACGAGGTGAAGAGAAAGTAAAATTCAAGCAGGCTTAAGCATGAAACACGCAATGCACACATTCTCCCAGGTTCCACGCCTGTTTGCCTCGCTACTCATTCTATCGAAATGATTAAAGAAAGAGCTTTATTCCTTTTCAATTTTCTCACGTCACAGTGGCCACACTCCATATATCATTCCTTCGCCAAAAACGAACTGCGTTCTAACTTTAGCCAATGTTACTACCGTCATCCCATAAAATTGTTTTCATTACGAAATGACACACATAATTAGACAACATTTTAATATGATAATTCGGTTGTATTTTGAGAAATAAAACTAGTATGAACATAATATTATGATACTAATGGTGAGAATTGTGATATTATAGATGAATTATTTTTAATAATTGATGATTAAATTATCATTTAAGAGTGTTAATTGTTTCTTAAAATAGAAATGAGAACCTTATATGGAATGTCCACAACGGCAAGTGGTAACTTTTATATGGGATGGAGGAAGTATAAATCATTCATTCACCAAAAACGAACTTCATCCTAACTTTAGCTATGTAGTACACTAGCTTAGTACAGAATTATTCATTACATTTCCAAAAACGAACTACGTCCATATTATTATACTACCTCTATCCCGTTTAGAGGTTATCATTGCAAAATAACAGAATAATTTAGAAAACAATTAAATATGTTAATTCTACTATATTTTGAGAAATAGTTTTGACGTGAATATAATATAATGAGTTATTGATCACAATTGTGATGTTATAGATGGAGTCTCTCTCTCACTTAATTAAGTTTATGGTCAACATTTCATGATGATCTATCGGTCTCCGATCATAATGTTTGACCATTGATACATCTCATTAAATACGAATACAAAGTATATGATAGTTGTTGTCATAAATAAATATCCCTTATAATTTGAATGGATGAGATACTAAATTCTTGAATTCAAATAAAATTAAATATGAATACAAACATATTTTTAAATTATAGGGGATATCATTTTATAAAATTTGACTAAGTTAAAAATAATATTACACTTTGTATTACTCCGTAATATTTAATGTAGTACTCCGTATTACTGATATTGCTTTGAAAATCTCTATGATAATAATTAATAAAGGATAAAAAGTTAAAAACCAATTTGACGAGTATAACTTTATGCGTTTAAATATTTTTGAAATATTTTAGGAAAAATAAAAAGTATTAAATTTACGTATGAGTATAACAGTATGGCATTGATATCCAATGAGTATTATGAGTAACAACAAAATATGTTAAACATCCTCGGAAGATAATTAAAAAATTGAGACTAATTTAATATTATTGATTAAACATTGGTTATTTACGTATTAATGTTTAGCATAAAAACTTATAAATGTTTAGCAGAAAAACTGTCAAATCAACCCTCAAAATATATCAAAAAAATCAATTAAACTCTTGAACTAAAAGAACA